AAGTGCTCTTCTCTTTGCAGCTGTTGCTTCTGCAATGATCTCAAGGCTGGGGGACTCTGGAAGGGAGGGGCCTGGAAGTTTCCTCCTTGCTCCTGCATCCTTTGCTCCCTGCCTTCCCCTCCCCCGTCCAGGTCACCACAGAGAGAAGCCAGGGTCTAATTCAGAGCAGATCCCACCTCAGCTCCTTCCTCTCATTGTGGGGACAGGAGTGAGTGGAGGATGCCCAACAGCTCTGTCACCTGCTGACTCCCGAGCTATCTTCTGGATCCCCACACCTACTCCTGCAAAACCTGGAAGATGGGGAGCATAGCCCTCCATCTCCTCTGCACGTGTGACTATACATTTTCCAGTGCTGGCTGATGGATGGTGGGCTCCCCTGCCAACACAGTGCCAGAGAGGAAGGGAACTCATTATTTGCTGACTTCAGTGGTCACAAGTGCTAGCTGCTTCAAGTCCACTGGATGATTTAACTCAACAGGCCCTGAGGTGGGCATGATGATGTCATTTTTCAGGGGAAGGACTCAAGGCCTGGAGACACAGCAGGAAGGCTGGGACCCCAGGGCTCCTGTTCCTAAGCTCCTGGCACCTCTGATCCCAGGCTGTGGGCCTCTCCCACCTGTGGTTGCTCCCTGCAGAGTGCAGGACCCTGCTGCTCTGTGCCAAACACAGTTGCCCTGGCCAGCCCAGCCCTGCCTGGGTAGGGAGGATCTTGATCCCAAGCCAAGGTGTTTACCTGTGTTCCAGGAAAGCCAGAGGTCTTCTTAAGAAGGTGGTTGGCTGGGCGCGGTGACTCATGCCTGTAATCCCAGCACTTTGGGAGGCCGAGGCGGGTGGATCACGAGGTCAGGAGATTTAGACCATCCTGGCCAACATGGTGAAACCCCATCTCTACTAAAAATACAAAAAATTAGCTGGGCATGGTGGCAGGCACCTGTAGTCCCAGCTACTTGGGACGCTGAGACAGGGGAATCGCTTGAACTGGGAGGCGGAGGTTGCAGTGAGCCGAGATCGCACTCACTCACTCTCACCCGGGCGAGGAGGGAAAACCCACCCAAAAAAAAAAAAAAAAAAAAAAGAAGGTGGTTGAATCACCCTATGCCACACAGAGTCTCCAGAAGACCAGCTCCTCACTGGGAGCTTTCTGATAAGATCAGCACAGTGGACAACTGGCCAAGGATTCAGTTAGGAAGAACCAGTCAGGCAGGCACTGTGATATGCACTTTCACCTTCATGACTCAATGTTATCCTTCCGAGGAGGCAGAATCGACCATCCCTGACTGTTTCAATTGAAGCAGTGGGGATCAGAGACATGAATATCCAGTGAGAAAGACGCAGGGCAGGGGCTTAAGTCCAAGAGCCAGACTCCCAGCACAGGGCTCTATGGCAGGTCACACTCCTAAGCCTTGGTCCAGTGAACTTTTCCATCCTGGAAGGACTATCCCCTCTCACTCTAAATTCTTCCCTTTTTTGATTCTTTTCTGGGGGCACATATTTATTACATGTTTAATTTTCAGAAAAGTAGTACATAGAGGTCACACAAAATTCTGAAAGTAGACATGGGGGCATCGCAACCTCGGCTTCCCAAAGTATTGGGATTACGAGCGTTGAGCCATGGTGCCTGGCCAAAAATGCAGTTCTTGACTGCCTTGCCTCTGTGTAAAAGGGAGGAGAAAGAAAAGTCAACATTTCCTAGAGGCCGGGTGCAGTGGCTTATAAAGTATCACAACGCTATGGGAAACCTCTCTCTACTAAAAATATAAAAATTAGGTGGAGTGTGGTGGCAGGTGCCTGTAATCCCTGCTACTTGGGGGCTGAGGCAGGAGAATCGCTTGAACCCAGGAGGCAGAGGACACAGTGAGCCGAGATTGCACCACTGCACTCCAGTCTGGGCAACAGGAGAGAAACTCCATCTAAAAAAAAAAAAAAAAAAAAAGTTTGGGGTCCGTCCGAGGGCTCAGCCCTGTACTCCCACCCCCAGAGGCTGAGGCAGGATTCGGCAGGGGTTGGGGGGGTGGGGATATATACCTGAAGAGTTCGGACCAGCCTGGCCAACATGGTGTAACACTAAAAATACAAAAATTAGCTGGGGTGTGGTGGCCGGCACCTGTAATCCCAGCTACTGGGGAGGCTGAGGCAGGAAATCGTCTGAGCCTGGGAAGCGGAGGTTACAGTAAGCCAAGATCACCTCTGCACTTCAGCCTGGGTGACAAAGCCAGACTTTGTCGCAAAACAAACAAGCAAACAAAAACATTTCCTAGGCACCTGTCCTATGGCCCAGAGGGCCCGGTCCTGAAACCCAACATCAAGCTGCTAGGGGCAGTGAGGCACAATTCCAATTCTCCTGAGTCTGGTTCCAAATTAACTCACCAAGCTACTTTTTCTCAAGTACTCTACCGAAAGCTTTTGAAAGACATGCCCTTTAAAAGCCAAGTATGGAAACAAAAGACCCCCTCAGTGAGGATCCCATGTGCAGCTGAAGCCCCAGCTTTCCAGCTGCTGATGGAAAAGCACCCCAGCTCTTCCCGCCAACCCAGGTCCCCAGTGAAGACAGAGGAGCATCCCCAACTGTGTCACTGGTCCGGCTCCCAGCCCACCCAAGTGTGGGGACATCCCCCGTGGAGAGTAAAGAACCAACGTACCTCGAAGCTTGGAGTCTCTGCCCTACTTGGCGCAGCAGGGAGTGGGACGCCTCTCTCCCTGGGCTCAGCAAAGGCTCCCAGACGTCGTCTCTTCCAAGTTCCACCGCACAGCCAGCTCCTTCTCTTCACTGGGACGGTCCGCAGGGCTGACTTGCTCCTTAAGGTCCCAAGACTAAGACGGGAAAGCCTGTGAGGCCGGGAAAAGGGCTCTAAGAGGCATGGATGGGAGTCAGGGGACCAAGCCACTGGAAGCTCCTGAAGACTCGAGGCAGAGCGAATCTGAATGGGATGTGGAGGGTGGGGGTGTCCTGGGGCTACCGCAGGGAGGTACCCGGCCCAGAGCCCCCTCCGGAGCCTGGCACTGTGGCCGGCAACCCTCGTTGCTGCCCGGTGCTGCTAGCCTGGAGCGCACACTATGTGGCGCTTTCAGGCGTGGCCAATAGGAGCCCGGGCGGTAGGGGAAGGATGGAACCGGTTTGCCCCTAACTCCCTCTCCCCACCCCTGACAGAGGAGCCACACCTCGGGGGAGGGGCGCCGGCTGAGGGCGCAGCAGGAGGGCTTAGGTAGGCTGGGGCTTTGAGAGGCAAGGATGTCAAAGGGTGCTGGCTGAGTCACCTCTCATCTAACCGCAAAATAACAAAGGCCTTAGTGAAGGAAGTTGAATCTTAATCTTGGCCCTCCTTGCTCCTGGAGGCATCCTTGCCGCAAAGTGACTTGGAGTCCAAACCCTTCCCGAGGCCCCAGCCTCAGCCCTAAGCCAAGACCCAGAAACCTGGGTGACACAGGGGCCTGCTGCAGTAGTGCTGTATCTGGGAGGGGTGGAGAGACCAGGTGGCCTTAGGAGCTGGGCCCTCCCTGCCCTAGCCTCTGCCCAGAGGCACAGCTTCATAGCAGGATATGTTTCAGGAAATAAAAGATCCTCACCCACCCTTGACAGATAACAGGTCAGGACAGCATTGCATGGTGGCACTCAACTGTAATCCCGGCACTCTGGGAGGTGAGGCTGGCAGATCACTTGAGATGGTTCAAGACCAGCCTGGCCAGCGTGATGAAACGTGGGCACTGTACTCCGGCCTGGGTGACAAAGTGAGTCTCCATCTCTAAAACAAACAAAGAACAGGGCAGAGCCCAGCCAACTGAAAAGGACAGAGCACTCGGAGGTACTGTAACCCATGGCGGTATCAAACAAGAAGTCTGCGCTGCTGGAGTAGAAATTTGCACAGTCTTTCCCGGCTGTGGTTTCGCAATGAATTATGATCCTTAACAATGGTCGTAAGTTTTTTGAATATATCTTAAGGAAATAAACCAGCAACAAGGATTTCTACACAAGGTTTATAGAAGTATTGTTTATAATACTAAAAAGATGCCAACAAAAAAGATTAGAAAGATGTGTGCCACAATGCCAACCTTAATAACTTCCGTGATCAAACTGCTGTGAACCCAGCACTTTAGGAGGCCGAGGCAGGTGGATCACTAGAGGTCAGGAGTTCAAGACCAGCCTGGCCAACACAGTGAAACCCCGTCACTACTAAAAATACAAAAATTAGCCAGGCGTGGTGGCAGGCAACTGTAATCCTAGCTACTCTGGAGGGTGAGGCAGGAGTATCGCTTGAACCCTGGAGGTGGAGGTTGCCGTGAGCAGAGATGGCACCATTGCACTCAAGCCTGGGCAACAAGTAAAGAAAGAATTAGTTTTTAGCCTTTCATGACGGGATATTAGGGGGGGTCTCATCTGACTTAAGCTGAAACTGTACTAATCATTTTGCAAAATCAGGAGTCTTTCTGCTTCCAAATATTCAGCAATATCAAACGTTAACTTAGCTATGGGTCAGAGCTGAGTTAATAAAATCCTGTATATTTATTGCCTTTTCACTTCTTGCAGTTATGCTGTGATTCAGAGTCAGAAACTATCAACATCTGATCTGTAAATAATTTAATAACCAGATGCAGTTGTAATTATCCAGCATGTGGCTTTCACATGGCATGTGAATTCCACTAAAAACTCACTTACTTCGAGAAGAACCAGGGAACTTTCACCAAAGACGTAACACAAGTTCCAAAGTCTTCGGGCAGAGGCTTTGTAAAGTACTGCTGCTTATGAATAATGAAGACAGGCATGTGCAACCTCTGCCCTCCCTATTCTTCCCCATTCCAAACCCCTTCCCTGGAAAAAGGTACATGTGATCTTCCATTTTGACTTTTTTTTTTTTTCTTTAGAGACAGGGTCTCACTGTCACCCAGGCTGGAGTGCAGTAGTGTGATCATAGCTCACTGCAGCCTCAAACACCTGGCCTCAAGTGATCCTCCTGCCTTGGCCTCCCAAAGTGTTGAGATTACAGGGATGAACCATCATGCTCGGCCTCATTTTGAACATTTTAATTAGAAAATTACAAAACATCATGTGTTCTTTACACAAAATTTTCATGAGAATGATTTAATAAAATGCAAACCAATGTTTACACATATATTGTCATCTTTCCATATCTCATTACCTTATGAGAATTTTTTTTTTTTTTTTTTTTGGAGACGGAGTGTCACTCTTTTTTCCCAGGCTGGAAGGCAATGGCGCGATCTCGGCTCACCGCAACCTCCGCCTCCTGGGTTCAAGCAATTCTCCTGCCTCAGCCTCCTGAGTAGCTGGGACTACAGGCACCGCCACCATGCCCAGCTAATTTTTTTGTATTTTTAGTAGAGACGGGGTTTCACTATGTTGATAAGGATGGTCTCGATCTCTTGACCTCGTGATCCACCCGCCTCGGCCTCCCAAAGTGCTGGGATTACAGGCTTGAGCCACCGCGCCCGGCCACCTTATGAGAATTTAAACAAGAAACTATTTTTCATTTAGATCTCAAGAAAAAAATTTAGGCATATAAAACAGCCTGAATATTTAAAAAGAAAAAAAAAAAAAAAGACTAGGGGGACAGTGTTAGGGAATTCCTCTGCTTGTATACTTGACAATAGCTTTGTTTCCAAAACTGTTTTTAGTCAGCCTAAAGGAAACAGTGCTGGAGATGAGAGCTGATCTCCAAGGTAAACGGAGGCACATACTAAGAGGTGTGTTTGTGGGCATGATGCATAAATCACAGAGGCCATGTCTTCCAGTGGCAACGACCTGCTTGGGATCAGGAAGCAGCTCCATCTGTCCTTAGAGGAGACGGCTCGCGTCCTCAGGAGGTGAACAGGCTGAACAAGCCGTCTTCCATGTGCAGAGGCCCCTTCCAGCCATCTCTGCTCCCGCAGACACTTGCTCAGCCACCCTGGTAATCCAGCTGGACTGCTTGGCATTCTGCTAGTGGCCAGGCTGGACTGGCCTGCCCGGGCCAGCATCCTCCTTACTCCCTCACTGCTTCTTGTGTCCTTCCCAAAGCTGCCCGCCCCACTCTAATGAGCACCCTGTTCCTTAGTCAAGGGAAACACAAGCCGCTGGGCTTCCCGCTAGCCTTCCAAATAAACTTGTGGTTGTCAGGCAGTGGGAGCCAATCCCAACACCAACTCTTGTCACCCCTGTCCTTTCCAGAAGCGGGAGGGCTGTCAAGGAGGAGGAGGGCCAAGTGCCCAGGCTGTTGAGTGAGGGCCAGAAAGAACCTGTTGTGACAATCTTTTCTTCCCCCAGTGCTGCTGAGGGGGCTGGGAATGAACAGCCCCTCTGACTTCAGCCTGCCATCCAGGGGCGCAGACAGAGGGCAAAACAGGGCAAAGAGCCAGCCACAGGCAGGCAGGCATCCAGGGCTGCTCCGCTGAGCTGATGACAGATGACTGACTTTCGGGCCGAGGCAGGTGGACGGTCCGAGTGTCCTTCAGCGGCCCTCCCTCATGCCTGTGCCAAGGTGGGCCTCCCCCTTGGGCCCTGCCCCTCTAGGTCTGCAGTGAAAGGCCTCAGCTCTGGAAATCAAAGCTCTGAATGGGAAATGGAGAGGCCCAGGGGTGCAAAGTGCTAGTGATTGGCATGTTTGTCACAAGGGAGCCCTGAAAAGAGTAAGAGTGGCTCACAGTAGAAGGAAGAAATGCACAGTGTGTTTCTCACTCAACAGAGGAAAAGTCTCTGCTTGACCAGAGATGGGACTCTTTCCAAGATGTCTGAACTGACTGCAATTTTCTCCTGAAATTCAACGCTAAGGCAAAGAAGAAAAACCCAAAAAGCTAATTACAGCCTCCAGGAACCCTCAGACCTTTCCACAAACTACTCCCTGGTGATTCTGCAGGAGCTCTGAAGATATGGAACTTGTAGAGAGCAAACGGAAGAACTGTTCTTTGTCTCCGAGGGGAAGAGCACACAAGCCCGCATGTGTCCCCTGGGCTCTTTCAGAAATATCCTAAGATGTTCCCAGGAGATGACAATGAAGCACCAACGGTCCTGCTGAGCCCTCAGAAACAGCCTTCCTAGGATAAGTGCTCCTTCCACACTTCTCCCCGGGGCGTCGCTGTCACAGGGACGGTGGTCACCACCTGATTCTGAAACACGAAGATCTTGATTCTTTCAAACACCCAGAGGAAGATAAGCAGGATGCTGACATACTGCACCCAGGCGAACTTTACCATCTCCCAGAATCCTGGCTGATAAGTATGGACAGTTAAGGAGTGGAGGGTCACATGGTGTTAAGTATGAAGAGAAAATCCAAGATGGAACTGGCCGTGGCAGAGGGATCTAGAAAGGAGGCAGGATGGCATAAGGAGTCGGACCTCTGTCATGTACACACCTGGATGGAAGCTGACGTGCTTAACTTGGCCAAATGGTAAAAACCTGCCACATGTGATTTGAACTATTTATATACTAAGCCTGATCACCAACCTCCTAATCAGACAACCTGCTAAGCAAACTAGATTGATCATGGACTAGAGACATCCTGAGTTGTTAGCCATCCTCAATCAGGGACTCCTCTAAAATCTTCCAGTTGTGTAAACTTACAATACTGTTATAAGCCCCTGCCTAATTGTGCCTGGATAGAACACAAATTAGCTGATTCCTAGATTTGTGTCTCTGGAATTGTAATTCCTAAGACCCCAGTTAAAATGCCTTCTGTTTGCTTCTCTGCACTGTTGGTGTTGGTTTCATTTCCTATTAGTTAACACAAGTCAAAATTAAACCAAAGTTTAGATCAGACAGGGACTGGGAAGAATGTTTCACATAACCTTAGCATAAAAGGGATAATCTATGATTTTCTTTTTTTGAGACAGAGTCTCACTCTGTTGCCCAGGCTGGAGTGCAGTGGCACCATCTTGGCTCACTGCAACCTCTGCCTCCCCGGTTCAAGCAATTATTCTGCCTCAGCCTCTCGAGTAGCTGGGATTACAGGCATGCACTGCCAGTCCTGGCTAATATTTGTATTTTTTAGTAGAGAGAGAGTTTCATCATATTGGCCAGGCTGGTCTAGATTGCCTGACCTCGTGATCTGCCTGCCTCAGCCTCCCAAAGTGTGGGGATTACAGGTATGAGCAACCACACCCGGCCGATAATATATGACTATTAAGACATAAATATGGATGATTCTTTTCTAGAAGAATTGCTCGGAAAGAAATAGGACCAAGAAATGAATTATTTTTTCCTGTATGAAAAGCAGACATACATAGTCATTTTTTGAATCACGTAGCCTAAACTTCCAAGACACAGACATTTCTATGAGGTTATAACTCTGTAGTGATTTCCAAGATAAAACTTCCCACGTGTTCCTACTTGGGACAACTGAGGAATCATTCTCCTTTGAAAACTAAGCTACCATTGATTTGTGTGTTGTTGTTGTTGTTTGTTTTTAGAGACAGGGTCTCTCTGTCACTGAGGCTAGAATACAGTGGCACAATCATAGCTCACTGCAACCTTGAACTCCTGGGCTAAAGCAATCCTCCTACCTCAGCATCCCAAGTAGCTGGGACTACACATGTGCACCACTATGACTGGCTAATTTTTTTTTTTTTGGTAGAGACAGGGTCTTGCTATTTTGCCCAGGCTGATTGTAAACTTCTGGGCTCAAGCAATCCTCCCACCTCAGTCTCCCAAAGTGCTGACATGAAAGGCAGGAGCCACCACACCCAGACCTGCCATGGACTCTTTAATAGAAAGGATATGAAATGACTTCCACAGGGTATCGGATGACAGCATTAATCACAAATGGAGCATCTGCAGCCCTGCCCACCAGCCAGATGGGGTTGGGATCACTCAGGATGGTGGTAACTGCAAGGCAATCATTAACCATTAACCAAGATGGCCTTTTGACCCTGGCTACTGAGGGCTGTAAAGATTATCTGATTATCCTGTGCTTCAGAACTGAAAGACATCATTTAGAAGGAAAGAAAAATTGCATGTGCAAATTTGATTACACATTATTTATTTTTGTTTTGTTTTGTTTTTTGAGATGGAGTCTCCCTCTGTCGCCAGGCTGGAGCACAATGGCATGATCTCAGCTCACTGCAATCTCTGCCTCCTGGGTTCAAGTGATTCCCCTGCCTCAGCCTCCAGAGTAGCTGGGACTATCAGTGCATGCCACCACACCCAGCTAATTTTTTGTATTTTAGTAGAGATGGGGTTTCACCGTGTTGGCCAGGATGGTCTTGATCTCCTGACCTCATGATCCACCCACCTTGGCCTCCCAAAGTGCTGCAATTACAGGAGTCAGCCACCGTACCTGGCCAATCACACATTTGTTAAAATAATAGTCAAGCCGGGTGCGGTGGCTCAAGCCTGTAATCCCAGCACTTTGGGAGGCCGAGGCGGGTGGATCACGAGGTCAAGAGATCGAGACCATCCTGGTCAACATGGTGAAACCCCGTCTCTACTAAAAATACAAAAAATTAGCTGGGCATGGTGGCACGTGCCTGTAATCCCAGCTACTCAGGAGGCTGAGGCAGGAGAATTGCCTGAACCCAGGAGGCGGAGGTTGCGGTGAGCCGAGATCGCGCCATTGCACTCCAGCCTGGGTAACATGAGTGAAACTCCGTCTCAAA